AAAGATAACTGTTTTTTACAAATGGAAGGTTTGTGGCAGTCCTGAATTGAGCAAGTCTATCAGTACCATTTTCTCAACAGCGCGTTTTCACTTTGCATCTCTCTGGTCACATTTTGATAATTCTCACAATATTTAAAACTTTTTCTTGTTGTTATATATGTCATGGTGATCTGTTATCAGTGATCTTTGATATTACTATTGTGATTGTTTTGGGGTATCATGAATTGTGCCCTTATCAGCCAGTGAAGTGAATTGTTCAATGTGTTCTGACCGCTTTACAGACTGGCTGTTTCCCCATCTCATCTGCCTTTCCTTGGGCTTCTCTGTTCCTTGAGACACAATGATATTGAAATTAGGCCAATTAATAATTCCGTTATAGCTTCTAAATATTCAGCTGCAAGGAAAAGTTATAGGTCTCTTACTTTAAATCAAAAGCTAGAAAAGATTAAGCTTAGTGAGGAAGGCATGTCAAAAGCCAAGCTAGTCTGAAAGCTAGGCCTGTGTGGCAGTTCACCAAGTTGTGAATGTAAAAGGAAAAGTTCTTGAAGGAAATTAAAACTGCCACTCCAGTGAACACATGAATGATAAGAACACAAAGCAGCCTGATACGGTTCAGCTGTGTCCCCACCCAAATCTCATCTTGAATTATAGTTCCCATATTCCCCATATGTCATGGGAGGGACCCAGTGGGAGGTAATTCAATCATGGGAGCAGTTACCCCCATGCTATTCTTGTGATAATGAGTGAGTTCTCATGAGATCTGATGGTTTTATAAGGGGCTTCCCTCCCCACCCCACCCCCGCTCCGCACTTCTCCTTTATGCTACCTTGTGAAGTAGTTCCTTGCTTTCCCCTCACCTTGCGATGATTGTAAGTTTCCCGAGGCCTGCCAACAAGGCAGAACTGTGAGTCAGTTAAACCACTTTTCTTTATAAATTATCCAGTCTCAGGCCTTTCTTCATAGCAGTATGAGAACAGACTAATAGCCTTATTGCTAATACGGAGAATATTTTAGCAGTCTGGATAGAAAATGAAAGCAGCCATAACATTCCCTTAAGCCAAAACCAAATGCCGAGCAGGGCCCTCACTCTCTTTAATTCCACAAAGGCTGAGAGAGATGAAGAAACTATAGAAGAAAAGTTGGAAGCTAGCAGCAGTTTGTTCATGAAGTTTAACGGCAGAAGCTGCCTTATAGCATAAAAGGACAAAGTGAAGCTAATACTGATGTAGAAGCTACAGCAAGTTTTCAGAAGATCTAGGTAAGATAATTGATGAAGATGGCCACATTAAACAGCAGATTTTCAGTGTAAACGAAACAGCCTTCTGTTGGATGAAAATGCCATGTAGGACTTTTATAGCTAGAGAGGAGAAACCAATGCCTGGCCTTAAAACCTCAAAGAACAAACTGACTTTCTTGTTAGGGGTTAAGACAGCTGGTGACTTGAAGTGGAAACCAGTGTTTATTGGCCATTACATAAAATCCTAAGCCCTTTAAGATTTTTACTAAATCTCCTCTGTCTATGCTATATAAATGGAAGAAGAAGCCAGGATGACAAAACATCTGTTTACAGCATGGTTTGCTGAATGTTTTAAGCCTCCTCTTGAGACCAACTACTCAAAAAAAATTAAAAAAAAGATTCCTGCCAAAATATTACTGCTGATTGACCACGTACTTGGTCACTCAAGAGCTCTGATGGAGATGTACAAGGAAGTTAATGTTGTATTAGTCATGGCTGCTAAATACAACATCCATTCTGTAGTCTGTGGATTGAGGAGTAATTTGAACTTTCAAGCCATAGTATTGAAAAAATACATCTTGTGAAGCTATAGCTGCTGTAAATAGTGATTCCTCTGATGGATCTGGACAAAGGCAATTGTAAACTTTCTGAAAAGGATTCACCATTCTAGATGCCATTGAGAACATTTGTGATGAATGGGAGGAGGTCAAAATATTAACATCAATAGAAGTTTGAAATGAGTTTCTTCCACCCCTTATGGATTCAAGACATCAGTGGAGGAAGTAACTGCACATGTGGCAATTACAATAAAACTAGAATTAGAAGTGGAGCCTGAAGATGTGACTGAATTGGCACAATCGCATGAGAAAACATGAATGGATGAGGAGTTCCTTCTTGTAGATGACCAAAGAAAATGGTTACTTGAGATGGAATCTACTGATGAAGATACAGTGAACATTGTTGAAATAACAACAAAGGATTTAGAGTATCATGTAAACTTAATTGATAAAGCAGTGGCAGTGTTTGAGCGTGGCATGGAATCCTGTGGCATCCACAAAATTACCTTCAACTCCATCATGAAGTGTGATGTGGACATCTGGAAAGACCTGTACACCAACACAGTGCTGTCTGGTGGTACCACCACGTACCCTGGCATCTCCAACAGCATGTAGAAGGGGATCACTGCTCTGGCACCCAGCATGATGAAGATTAAGATCATTGCTCCTCCCGAGCGCTAGTACTTCGTGTGGATCGGCGGCTCCATCCTGGCCTCACTGTCTACCTTCCAGCAGATCTGGATCAGCAAGCATGACTATGACAACTTTTCTGAGCAAGTTACTTTTGTCAAGAAAGGGTGTAACACAACTAAGTCACAGTCCACCTGGAAGCATTTCGGTGGACGATGGAGGGTCCACCGCAGATGCTTCCAGGTGGACTGACTTAGTTGTGTTTCACCCTTTCTTGACAAAACCTAACTTGCTCAGAAAACAAGATGAGATTGGCATGGCTTTGTTTCTTTGTTTTGTTTTCATTGGTTTGACTTAGGATTTAAAAACTGGAATGATGAAGGTGACAGCAGTCAGTTGGAGCGAGCATCCCCCAGAGTTCTACATTGTGGCCGAGGGCGTTGATTGTGCATTGTTCTCTTTTTAAATAGTCATTTCAAATATCATGAAATGCATTGTTACAGGAAGTCCCTTTCCCTCCCAGAAGCCACCCCACTTCTCTCTAAGGAGAATGACCCAGTCCTCTCCTGAGTCCTCACAGTGGAGGTAATAGCATTGCTTTCGTGTAAATTACGTAATGCAAAATTTTTTAAAATCTTCAGCTTAATACTTTTTAATTTTGTTTTATTATGCAAGATTAGCCATTGTGGCTACCCCTTTTTTGTCCCCGAACTTGAGATGTAAGAAGGCTTTTAGTCTTCCTGGGAGTGGGTGGGGCAGCCAGGGCTTACCTGTGCACTGACTTGAGACCAGTTGAATAAAAGTGCACACATTAAAAAAAAGAAGAAATCATTACACACACCCCAACCTTCAGCAACCGCAAGCCTGATCAATTAGCAGCCATCTACATGGAGACAAGGTGTCTACCACTGAAGTCTAGAACTCTCTGAAGACTTACATGATTGTTAGCATTTTTAGTAATAAGGTATTTTTATGTTAAGGTATGTACATTGTTTAGACATAATGCTGTGTCACACTTAATAGAGTATAGTACAGTGTAAACGTGACTTTTATATGCAGTAGTAAACAAAAAAAATGTGTTTCTTGCTTTATTTTGATATTCACTTTGTTGTAGTGATCTGGAGTAGAACCCAGGATATCTCTGAGGTGTACCTTTATGTACTTAGAGGACTTGCGTTAGTGCCTGAGTACCATGCTGGTTGGTATAGGATGTCAGACAGCCACACTAGAGTCCCAACTCATCTGGGTAGAAGGGACATCACCACCACCCCCAAGACAGGCTGAATCTCTGGGGCATGGGATTAGGAGAGCATTGAAATAGATAGTGGAGGAGTCTTACTAATGAAGAACCGACAGTGAATGAGTGGATGAGAGTGTGTGTGTGTGTGTGTGTGTGTGTGTGTGTGTGTGTGTGTGTGTAGTAACTAAAGGGATGTATTTTTCATTTTAGTTGGTCCATATAAAACTACCATCTTCTCTTTCGTGGTATTATTTTTACTTAAGTCTGGCATATTAATTGATTAAGGCTCTATGATTCATTGATTTCATTTATCAGACATTTGCTGAATATCAGCTGTATGCCCTGCACCATGCTGGGTATTGGGGGCTCAGAGACACAGGGAGAATAACCATAAGCAAGATACAGACGAAGTGACCTACAGGTATAGTGGTGAAGAGCCAACTTGGTTAGGATGTTGGGGAAGTATTATGCTAAGAACTCTGTTACCTTTGTGTGGTTTTAAGGAGACTGAAGGGTCTCTGTTAAAATGAAATGAAAATGAAAAATAGCTACTTCATTTTCGGAGGTTAGAATTCTGGTTTACAGATTTATTTTTAGTCAAAGCTATAATCTTTGAGAATTAATTATAGTTTATAGACTAAGAATTGAGAATTCTAGAAGTGTAAATCAGATATAAGTGTCGTGGCTGATACAAATTGAATGCTGCTATGGTGGTATCAGGGAGTTTGCAAGATACCTTCGTTACCACCAGCTAGCTTCACTCTCTATTGACAATTGATCAAAATAAAGTTTCCTCAGCCACCACAATGTTAAATTGTTTGCTGTATCTCTTACTGGACAAACACTTTGATCCACTCTTTTGTTCCTGAAAGTATGAACTTTTCCACATTGGTGTCGTTCTGTATCTAGTATGGTTCTAATTCTCAGTTTAACATTTTCTATTCCTAGCGATACAGAAAAGAAACATGGTGTTTCAAACTCTGCAATGACTGTTAAATAATTCTAATACTTTTTTCTCCCAGAATCCTTGACTGAATTTCCTCTTTTTCCTTGATCTTAACTTTTCACATCATTGACAATAGGGACAGTATTTACAAGAGTATAAAAACAGATAGTTTGGTAAATAATTCCATAACAAAGTTGTTTCATTATATCTGGTCAACCACTTTGCCCAAAGAAAGCATGAATCATGAAGTATATGAATTTTTTTTAACCTTGCAGTATATCTTTTTTGTTGATTTTTGAGATGATTTTGTTAGTAGTTAAAATTCCATTATAAAACAATGCTTTGAGATAAGGTGCACTTGAAGTAACACTTATTTCTCTTAATTTTCAGGAAGTGTTTGGATTGTGAGCTATTTCAGAACTCTGTTCTCAGGACTCATTATTTTAACATTTGGGAGAAACACAGCCAGAGGTATTGTCTTTTGTCTCATTGCTCCATTTTTTTTTTTTAATGTTATCAAGCCTTTCCAATTATAAAAAAATAAGACTGTCATGCCACATTTTGCTGTTTATGTTTTCTTTAACTTTTAGATATTGATAAACTAGTTTGCCATTTCTCACAAAGGAGATGTTTATATTTCAGTTTTGGTAGATCAGAATTTTGTGTAAGTGAATAAAAAGTCTGGTTTAAAGAAAAACAATTTTACCTAATGTAAACACCAAGGTATTTACATTTTACTTTACTAATATAGAACTACTTTAAAGAATATATTGATTTGAAAATTTCTGTTTAAGGTAGTGTGAAGTATACATGAAATATTTAGGCAAATCTTAAAATTCTTCCTGCCTGTGACAGCTCTACCTTCTAGTGTAGAGATCAGCTGCCATCTGCATTTGCATCAGTCTGTCATCAGGTTCCATGGACAGATTCAGTGAGGCCACCTGGTTCTGCCTCCGAACAACCATTTGCTAAGTTCCCTCTTTGCATTATCATTTGTGAATAGATTGGTATAGCATAATAATTTATCTGCTTGTAGACCCAGAGTGTCAGGCATTCCTTACTAGGAAGGCAGATTACGTTAAAATCATCTGTTGAGAAACTTACTCACTTTGTGCTTTGTCTTTTGTACCTTATCTTAGTCCATTTGGACTACTGTAACCAATAACCATAGATGGGAGGCTTGTAAACCACAGAGGTTTATTTCTCACACTTCTAGAGGCTGGAAAGTCTAAGACCAAGTGCCAACAGATTTGGTGCCTAGTAAGGGCCCGTTCCTCATAGATGGCTGACTTCTCACTGTAACCTCATATCACAGTGGAGGTGGCCAGAAAACTCTTGGGAACTCTTTAAAAGGGTACTAATTCTGTTCATGAGGGCATTACCCTCATGATCTAATCACTCCCCAAAGTCCCCACCTCCAAATTAACCTCACATTGCAAACATGGTTTCAATTTATGAATTTTGGGGAGACACAACATTCAGAACATAGCATACCTCATAGACCCCTTAAGGATATACCAACTAGTTTGACTGATGTCAATGGTGAACATAGCCTTCTTGATCTGTATCCAAGGCATCCTTCTTAATGTTCAACTTTATACCTCCTATGTTTCTTGTGTTTTCCTTCTCAGGCTTTTGCCCGCTGTCTTGCTTGGAATAGAAGCAGATGAAGGAAGGATGCAATAAATTTAATAAAATAGGGTAGTAGTTGTTAAGGTAGTAAGGAATTGGCCATCTTCTTCTATTATAATGTATAGTTAACTTTGTGAGCTGCATATTCATTATTTATATTCATACGAAATAACACAAAACTCAGTTTTTACATATTTTCTTTTTTTTTTTTTTTGAGATGGAGTTTCACTCTTGTTACCCAGGCTGGAGTGCAATAGCGTGATCTCAGCTCGCTGCAACCCCCGCCTTTTGGGTTCAAGCAATTCTCCTACCTCAGCCTCCCGAGTAGCTGGGACTACAGGCACACGCCACCATGCCCAGCTAATTTTTGTATTTTTAGTAGAGACAGGGTTTCACCTTGTTGACCAGGACGGTCTCGATCTCTTGACCTCATGATCCACCTGCCTTGGCCTCCCATAGTGCTGGGATTGTAGGCGTGAGCCACCGCACCCGGCCCACATATTTTCTTAATCACTGACAAGTGGTGTGAATTTCTATGTTTGTTGAATATAGTCTTTTAATAAGTCTCCCAGCACACTGCGTTGAACTTTAAAATGGTGACTTTGTATTTAGGATTATTCTTTATTGGCAAACTAGCATATTCTTCCTCTTGTCAGTTTTGGGGAAAAGGGAAAAGCAAATAAGAAATTTAAATAAGCAGATTAGGTCTGTGAAAGAACTTGTAAATGAACCCCAAATATTAGTTTAATTTGATGTATACTTTATCAGTAAAATATATGATCAGAAACTCTGGATTTTATGGAATTTAGAGTTACCTTTTCAAATTAAAGAAAAGAATGAGCTTATAAACATTTCATATGAACATTCACACTTAGCTATAAAGGTGAAAGATGTAATTTTAATGCTAATATGAATTATCAATTCATCAAAGTTTATTATATCTCAAAATTAAGGATATGTTTGAATAAAGTTATAGTTATTCTTTCTTACTAAAAAGAAACTGCACAGAAATTGAAAGTTTAGCTGAAGGATTAAATCAACAAATTCTCATGTATATCCAAGATAGGAATTAGTTTCAAGTAATTATTTTGAAAAGAAATCATAATGCATAAGGTCCTTTTGAGAAAAAATTTCTTACTTTTATAAAAAACCTACTAAAGTATAACTTCATGTAATCAAATAGACAGCCTTATTTGCTAGCTTGATTTTTTTTATATATAAGTATAGTCTGAGTAACTAGCACCCTACTTCAGAAGGCTTACTGTATTTGTGTACTTTCTAGTCAATACTACCCTTATCCACCCGAAACTAGTCTTTGGCATCTTTTACTATAGGTTAGTTTTGCCTGCTTTAAACTATGTAAAGTTGGAACCATATCATATGAACTCTTTTGGGTCTGATCTTTTTGGTAACGTTATTTCTGTAAGAGTTGTCCATGTTGTGCGCGTTATTTGTTCCCTTTAAATTATCTTTATTCTATTCTATGATTATACCACTGTTTATCCATTCTACTGTAAATTGACATTTGGTTTTCTTTCCAGTTTGTGGCTACAAATAAGGCTTCTGTGAATGTTTTGTATCTTTTGGTAGAAATAAGCATTCATTTCTCATGAGCATAGTGTAAGCACAGGAGTGGAACTACAGAGTGGTGGGAGGTGCATGTGCTTAACTTTAGAGTAATATGCACTCAGAGTGCTTTTAAGGGTATTTAAGAAATGTCAATCAGTGTGTCTTTTGCTGATGGTAGATTCTATAATTAGATAGACTTATTGTTCTTTGACTTAATGTAAACGCCAAAGTTATTTCTAAGGAGTTATTTAAATTTTTCCATCTATTAAACAATAAGTTACCAACTTTCTGATTCCATTATGATATGTATTTGGCTCACAAAACCTGGATTTGTTCTAACCCTGTTGAAGGAAAATAGGACACAAAACCTTCCTCTATGTACTTATGGTTGTGTGATTCAAATACTGAAAGTGGCTTCTGAAGCAAATCAGACATAACACATATTGAAGGCTTTTTTATTAGTTGAATATTTGGACACCTCTTTGAATATTTAAAGGAATAGATATTTTTGAGTTACAAAACATTTATTTCAGCATTCTTGATAAGTGTTTCTTGTGACCTTTGTGTTTTTATTATTCTAGCAATTAAATTGAAATTATTCATTCTAGCATTTAAGTATTTGAGAAATGTTGTGTTAATCTTTTTCTAGGTCTTTTCTATGGAGCAGTTCTGTTCACTATAAGTATAATGTGAACTGGATTATGTAACTTTAAATTTTAAATGTTAAAGTTTCTAGTAGCTATGGTTAAAAGTAACTGGTCAAATTAAGAATATATTTGATTTAACCCAGTATCTGCAAAATGTTATCCTTTTAATGAATAATCACTATAAAATTATGGGATATTTTACATTTAAACAGAATGTAAGTGTATACTGTATTTTTGTAATCCGGGGTGTGTTTTTACTCACAGCTCTCTGAATTCTGACTAGTCATCTTTCAAGTGCACAGCAGCCACATGTGTCTAGAGGTTGCTATATTAGACAGCACAGCTATAGAGTTACATTTTGGGTGTTTAAAAGACAGTGCTTTAGTCAAGTTCAAGTCTAGTTAAAATTATCGTTAAAAATCCAATAGGAAGATGCCATGTCAAATGCTGAAGTACTATCTTGAAATAAGTTTCAAACAGCCTATTTTTCCTTCTGTTTTGGAATAAATAGTATTTTCTTTGGTTGAACATCAGATAAAACAGTTAGCCAGTGTTTAGGAGGCATGTTGAATGACAGATATGTATCTTTAAACTATAAAATCAAAATCTGTAGCAACAGATTCATATCTTCCATCTTACTCCAGGTTATATTATACTAGGTAGAATTTTAGGGGAAATGCATTTTTCTTTCTTTTTTTTTTTTTTAAGCATAGCTGGTTTAATACAATGTGATCAATTGCTATACGATATAATGCCACTATATTTAATAAAATGGGCCAGTTTACAAATAGTTTGTATGTGTACATATAGATGTACCTATGACTTTTCATTATTTAGAATAGTTAAAGGTTACCTAAACTTTGAGGGTTACTGTTTCTTCATGTTTATTTTTGCCAAATGTGAAAAATCAAGACTATAAACTATCTTACATGAACGTGGGTTTATTTTTGCCACCAAATTGGTTTTTAAAGCTTCTTGGTGTTCAAAATTGGGAATGTGGATAAGGGACTATTGACCTGTGAAAACAGTCAATATGGAGACTTATTGTGGAGGGAATAGCCCTTTGAGCAATAGATAGCATAATCATACTATACCGCTTGTTTTGGGTCACAGATCTGGGGTACCATAGTTGTTTTATAGCCCTACCCCCAACACATTTTTTATAATACTACCTCCACACTCTTAAATGAAATTGCTCTTCTTTTTGACACTCAATTCTTATTGGCTATTAAGCAAATAAAATTATTCCTGTGCTTAAAAGTCTTCACCTTACCTCGTGTAAAACTAAAGTCCTTGCATTTGCTGAAAAGCCATCTTCTCAGTGAAACCCTCCCTGGTGACCACACAATTCAAACTGGAAACCTCCTCTTTTTCCTCTCTCCTTTATGCTGTTGTCTTTTTCCACAGCAGTGAACACTTTTAAAAATACAGTTTAATTTGTGTTTCTTTTTAAATTGTGGTTTATTGTTTACTTTATAAAATTGAAACTCCCTGAGGGCAAGAATTTCTGTTGTGTTCATTACTGATCAATCTGAAGAAGCGGCCGGGCATGGTGGCTCACACCTATAATTCCAGTACTTTGGGAGGCTGAGGCGGGTAGATCATGAGGTCAAGAGATTGAGA